CACATATGCTGGGGGCTTTATCAACATTGGGGAGCATCGAAAATGAATGGTAAGTCTGTTAAATAAGTTATAAGTTAATTTAATTCAATTACTCATGTTTACATTTTGTAGGCACATGAATTGGGGACGAAACCAACATTTGCAGCTACATTTGAACGCACATTTCAAAAAAAAGATAAGACATGGACTGACGATCGAGCAAAAGCTATTAAGGTATGTAAGGTTATACTTTGGATTTTATGGAAACTAGAATGAAAATCGTGAATGCTTTTAATATTTATGGTAGTTATATATATGAAGTTATTTTATTTTCATCTATATTGTTAATGTAGGAAAAATATGATGAACTTTTAATGAGCAATGCTAGTGGTGGTGATGGTGTTGCTGCGTCTGAGCCATCAATTGACAGTATGGCATTATGGGTGGAGGCAACGGGTGGGATGAAAAAAGGAAAAATATTTGGGATGGGATCCTTGTCAAAGGTATACATGACGAATCATGCTACAACTTCATCATCCAATGCGGCTGTTTGAAGGAGGATACGACATGAGGAGCAAATGACCCAAGAATTGAACCAACTGAAAAATATACTTGTAGAGAAGGACGAAGAAATAAATGACTTGAAACAACAAATGCAAATCGTTATGTGACACCTCAACCTCGATCACGATGAAGTTCCTCCTATACCTCCCGTCAATCCAATAGGTGATGGGCACAATGATGAGCGACACAATGATGCTGAGATTGCTGATGATGATGATGATTTTCTCGGTCCTTTCTAGTTAAAATTCCCAAAATCGGGGGTAAGCTTGCATCACAATCTTTTGTGCCATAAGTGCAGTTTGCCTAATATGTTCCTGCCCTACAATTACTTTATGTGCACAACTTTCTTACAACTAGGATCTTTGCTTGCGAAAAACTGAAAATTTAGAGATCCCAAGATGACATGCTTGTTACAAAAAATCATGATATTTGAACATTGTAGAAATACATGCCTTAATTGACTTTGAGTCCTCTCTTCCTGGGAATTGGTGTTGGTAATTCACCTCTCTAAGTCATTAAACTGTTGAATGCTGTTTGGAGAAGGATCTAACTTTTCGTAGGTGACAAAAATACGGTTTACAAGGGTGAAAAAACTACAGTGGATGTCAAAGTTGACTCATATTCATATGTAAGAATATTGATGTTCGTCCTGAAACGTTTTTTTGTTAACCCTCTTACTTGTTTTTTTATACCTAGTTCCACATCCATGCATAAACGCTTCTTTTATATTCTGGACTGATTAAATATCTTTTTTTATGTATTCACATTTCATCAGGTGTCGACAAAAGTGACTGCTTCTGGTATCCTGCCGAGTACCAAAGCTGCCCAATCTTGTGTCTAGTTTGTCGATTTTTCGTTTTTGAAGCAGAATCTATGGTTGTCCCGCCTCCTTTGAATGTTTTGAATGTATTATAAGATTGGATATCAAATAGCATCATATCAGACTTTGCAACTTTGCATATATCATTATTTTTTGCGGACTAGCATCTTTCCTTTAGTTATATTTTCAATTATATGGCATTGTGTCTGGTTTGTTCGTTTTCTGTTTCTGAAGCGGAATCTATGGTTGTCTCGTGTCCTTTGATTGTTTTGAATGTATTACATGATGTTTATTAATGCGTAGCTATTGCTATGGACAAGATTTGATGGCCCAAATGGTGTATAATTTGTGACGAATTTTGCGATGAATATTTAGCGACGAATTTTGCGACCAATACAGTTTGTGGCTAATTTGCGATGAATAAGTAGCGATGAATTTTGCGACGAATTTTCCAACGAATAAAGTTTGTGGCTAATTTGCGACGAATAAATTTTGCGACGAATAAAGTTCGTGGCTAATTTGCGACGAATTTTGTGACGAATTCTTCGCGACGAATTTTGCGACGGATAAAGTTCGTGGCTAATTTGCGACGAATTTTGCGACGAATAAAGTTTGTGGCTAATTTGCGACGGATAAAGTTCGTGGCTAATTTGCGACGAATTTTGCGACGGATAAAGTTCGTGGCTAATTTGCGACGAAATTTGCGACGAAATTTGCGACAAATTTTGCGACGAAATTTCCGACGAATTTTGCGACGAATAAAATTCGTGACTAATTTGCGACGAATTATTTGCGATGAATTTTTTTCCGTCGCAAATATTTGCGACGCCGAATTAGCGAGTTCGATTAGCAACGGATTTTGCCAAATTTTTCATCGCAAAATTCGTCGCTAATCCCTTGTTTTTTTGTTGTGTCAGTTATATTGCCAAAGATGCAACTACTTATGAGATGATACGCTTCAAAGTTGTTTTTGATAGACAAAACTTGTATATTGAGAATATGTGAGATTTTCTTCTGTGTGAGCTTCTCCTATCCTGATTCTTTATCCTTGAAAAGAGGATTCTTCCTTGATGGTGATCCAAGAGGCACTTTATCCTTGGCTGGTGGTTCATTCTTTAGGCCTGGTGAGCTTCTCTTATCTCGAAATCTTTCATCATTAGTTGGCGGTTCGTCCTTTAAGCTTTTGTGGTGAACTTTGTCAATTCCAATCTTTATCCTTGGTTGGTGGCGCATTCTTTAGGCCGTGGTGATGGTTGTAATCTATCCTTCATCTATTATAGATCATCCCATTATCACTCAAAACACTTTCGCCCAACCCGCACCTACATCAACCATGGAGGCTGCCATCGAGACCACGTTGCTAACGACAACGCCCATAGCCCGAATAACGAGATTTCTTCCTTAAGATTATAACCAAACACCGTAATAGATTAGGGCATAACAATTTACCATAGGTGCTAATACCACTTGTTGGGAGCACGCAGGAGCATATTGATACCTTCAACTAGGGAGATCGCCAAGAGGGAGCCCAACTCGTCAACATATCCAGTTAGATCCACCTTCATTAAAAAGCTTAAGCTAATGAATTATAGGTCAACAAGGATATATTAACTATTCTAAACCACATCAATTTTTCGATGTGAGACTTTTTCTATCAAAACTCACAAGTGTATGTCAACATTTTTTAAGTTCCCTATTGTTTTGCATCGAGTATTTCAAGTTAGGATTTTCTTCACTTTAAGTTGTGTCCATTTTTCTCTCATGCTCATATATGGCACAAAAGGGCAAAGAGGTGGGCATGCCACAAAAAATTGTCTATCAACATGAGAACTGTTTTATTGATTAGACTCTAGCATTTCCAAACCTTCTATTGAGCTAGACGTCCACCAGTCATCGTACTTTATTTGTCTTTTTTATTGATGGATTTAATTTGTATTGCTTGATTACTTATGCATGGGGACTTGGAAGCATGTTAGGAGTAAAATTGAAAACATTGCATGCAAAATGATTTTATAAAAGAGAGGCACTAATAACATGCAATAGACTTATCTAGCATAACCAAATTTCCAGGCTCACGAATCTCTTGTTCACATTTCAAGAGCCAGACGGGCCCCTACGTCTTACTTGAGCCCTTAAACGGCCCACAATAGTTTGTTGGCGACTCTTAAATTTAATATCGAACGAATAATTGAATGAGAAAATCAAGTCGTGATCGTAGGGCTTGGGAGAGCCCATGCTAAGTATAAGTGCCACTTCATAAGAAGAATTATTTGTGCTTGCTTAGTAATCCGTTAAATTCCCTCGAGTTCACCTCAAGAAGGTCACAACATGTTTACATTAGACACATCTTAAAATGACATGCGGTAAAAATGGATACCAACGGGTATGCATTATAGAGTACACATGTGCGTGCACCTATATTTATCAGTCTTTTTTCATAGCCTAGGGGCATGAGTGCGAAGGCTAAACTTCTTAAAAATCCATAAAACGTCCTGTAAGCCCCATGAACTTGCCAAGTCAAGACCTTTGGTTAATGCAGATGTCCCTGATCAGTGGATAGAAGTTGAAAAAGTGACCTCCTATTATTAAGTTGAAATCCCATGACGCCCCAACCAAATAGGCCAGTCCTGGAGGGTTTGTATATCAAGATCCTGAACCTTTATAGAAGTACAAATCTGGCTTGAGTACCATCATATATAAAAGCCTGGATTTGGCTTTTATATAAGTGTTTTAGAAGCATGGTTCCGGATTGGGACCTTCTATATTATGTATTCATCTACCAAATTTAACTCTTTAAGAGAAAGATACATCAATACATTGAATTGATATCAATAACTAACACTATATCTGTTTTGAGTGATTAGAAGGGAGAGAAATGGTTCTAAAGACACAATCATGTTTGGATGAAGAAAAACAGATACAAGGAAAACATTAGGAGGAATTTGGAGGAATTTGTGCATTAATAAAGAATTTTATTCTTCTTTCTCTTATACCATTTGAAATTTATTTATAAATACATAAAACGATATTGACGTCATAATGCATTCTTTTCCTTTCTTTTTCCCTTCCTAGCATCTAAACAACATCATTACTCAATCCATTCAAATATTTTTTTTCCTCAATTCCTCATAATTACTTAAATTCTTTCTTTTCCTTTCTAATCACTCCATCCGAACTTGGTGTAAGATGTTTCCTTTCCTTTTTATTATTTTCCCCCGGATCAGAGGTTGGTGACCTCCTGGATGCGTGGAATTCTCCTATGGTCACCATCCCGTGAATTCCCTAGCTATGCCATTTTCGCACCTTGGCTTATGAATTTCTCATACCATATTCTCTGTTACGTATATGGGATTTCAACATTGACCAATGTGGTTTTGATTTCAAAAGGTATATGTTGTCATCCCATGTAAGAGACTTGGAGACATGGATTGAGTCTTGGGATACAACAAGAGGATAAATGATTTTTATCCCTGTGAAAGGAGACAGACATGTCTTCTAACAGTGGATGGCAATTAAATTATGTTTTTTGCATGTGCAGGTTCTTGCTAATCGTAGCCTGATCATTTAAACTCTCCTTTGTAAGATGTGAAAGCTTATCTACAAGATTGAAATTAATCGATCGACCAATGATTTCCACCATTTTGCTCACTTGTGAGCCCTGTAGGAAGTTTCCATCAGACAGAGATTCATAGTCCGACACATGTATGATTTTAACATTCACGTAATTGACACTTCATCGACTTACAATTCTTTCCATGTTGCTCCAACTTGACATTAGTGGTCCTGATTTTCTTATCAAACATAGTGAACACACGGACACACGCACCACCCCCCAGATTCTCATTCCCAACCACTTGAATGCGTGCTTAACCCTCCTCATATGGCGAGCAACAGCCCCGGCAACGACTGGCCGAAGAGCTCTCTTGTCTGGCTCTGCCATAGCGTATGGCTCGCCCGAGCCACGTCCCGCCGCGGCAACGACACTTCCCTCACGGTGAGCCACGTGTTGAAATACTCCCTGAACTGCGTGATCAGCCCATTCTTCAGTGTCCAAACATGGACCCAATATGCCTGTGCCCCTTCCCACCCGTCGGCAATCACATAGTCGTTGCCTATAGCCGTTATGCTACGTGGATGGAATGTAAACTCAGAGAAGTCCGATTCCCCTGTGAGCACCCGCATCATGTGCTGGCAACGGGGCGGCCCATGGAACCACCATTCCAGGTCGCTGGCCAGGAGCTTGGGCACCACATCGGAGTTGCCAAGAGCCAATGCGGCGTAAAGGGCCTTGACGGTCACTTTGTTTTTGATGGATTCCGGCACGGCAGGTTCATTGTCTTCGGCTGTCATTTTAGGTATAAACGCAGGAATGTAATGCGATAGAGAATGGTCTATGAGCTAAAAGAACAGTGGGTGGATTTTGTATGGATTGTGGCTTGTTTTCTTTGCTGGTGAGCGTCGGTCTTGGTATTGCACTATAGGCCTAGCGGTGAACCTATTTATAGCATGAAATTGGGAGAGGAAGAGGAGATTGGGACCTATTATGCTGATTAATCAGATATCAACGGTGGTGATTCGTGGTGGTGATGACGTGGAAGATCGGACGGTCACTTCTTTCTCCTAAGATGGGGATGTCCTTTGTGCCACACTTGATGCCAAGCAAGGACACATGGCGCCCACAATAATACAACTCTAAATTCAATGCTCTTCTGGGGACAATCGATGGGGATCGTACCGGAACCAGATGGATCCAAAAACCATAATCAAACATTTCTCGGAAAAATGACCATTCTACTTCTTGTAGGGTTGATCCATTCGGTCATATGTTAGTTCTCCACCTTGTGGACAAAAAGTTCACTTTTAGATAGGCAATCCCGAATTCATAACGCAACTCATTAATTTCGCAAACTAGATAAGAAGTGAGCCGAAACTCAAGAGGATGACTCCAATATGAGAAGTCAAATTGTTATGCTTCTTGAGATGCGCGTAATCCATCTAATATGTTTGGTACTTAATCTCTTATCAACTTAACGTAATATCGAGCACACGATTACGTACAAGGCAAGTGCTTCTTAATCCTTAGTTCACATGAGATCCATCAAAATTAAAAGTTAGGATTATTGTGAGCATGTAAGATTTCTTCCACTCCAAAATGATTGGTCACTAGTCAATTCTCTTGCTCTTTGCTTTCCGAAGTGGCCATGCATAGACAGAGGTAATGTAATAGCTTCTATGTCCCTTTATTCCTCACGTATCTGCTCACCATGTAGGGCTGCTTAGCAAGAGAGAAAGCGAAATGGAGTGTCCCTATTTTTGTCCGCAATGAACTTGATGATTTTGAATGCTCCCAAATTTGATGAGTTTACAAAGAGAACATTCCACTCCATATCTTGTAGCCTATTAAAGTTTGTTCACTCTTTCTGTAAATTACTAAATGTAGAACTAAGACAATGACGATGATGATCGTGTGTGTCTTCAGTGGCATCAACAAAAAGTTAGCGGGTGGATTTCTAAGATCTGTTTTTCTTGAGATTTTCATCCACGAAATAGACAACAAATTGACCTTTATGATGATAACATTCATGACAAGTATCAAGCGTTGGCTTTCCCCCACCACAAGAATATGCGTGCTGGCTAGAAGAATGGCCTGGAAGGTTTACAAGTGTGGTCCTGTGAGTGTTGGCTTTATTAGGAGAATTGTTTCTGAGCGGCAATGACAAAGGTCGCTTGACCTCTCCTTTTGTTCATTAGAGATTATCACTGTGACTAGAAAAAAATTATCTAAAAAATCCTAAACTTATTGCACTTGGGCTAATTCAATCATAAACTTTTCTATTTTACCAATTGAGTTATAAACATTTTTATGTTTTGCCAATTGAGTCTATCCGGTCAATTTTAACTAAAAATCGCTTTTGTGGATTAGGGGTGTGCAAATTGGACCATTCGTATCGAGAACTGCTCGGACTGAACCGGCCGATTAGGTTCAGTTCTCGAGAGTGTCGATCCAGTTCCTGATTCCTAAAAGTGGAACCGATGTTCGGACGGTCCGATTCCCGATTCCAAGGGAGAACCTAACCGAACTAAACCGATTACATGTATATAATTTTTTTATTTTTTAAAAAAAATTAGTAAATTGTGAACTAAACTCCTACTCAAAATCTTCTTGGAAGTGTCCCAGCTCCTGCTGAAGTTTTTCCCCCTTCAAAATTAAACTAGTAATGTGAACCACCTCCTAATAAATAATGTGAACACTCTAAACATCCGGATGGGACACCACCTCATGGAAACCATGGAAATGTCAGGCCAGCTTCTTTTCTAAAACAAAAGTATCTAGTTTTTATAAGAACTAAAACACTGCCATTCGGAAAAAAAAAAAGTAATCGGTTCCATTAGACCGGATTAGACCAATGGTGCGGTCCTCGGTTCTCAATTTTGGGAACCAGGAGCCGATCACCCCTAATGTAGACGCCGGTAATGTCACATAAGATGGCAAACGCTAACATGGATAATTTAAAAAAAATCTTTATAATTTTTATTTTTTCTTTTTTCTTTTCCATTCTTCTTTTCCTTGTTTTGTACCAAATCCTCGGCAATCACAGGCAAGGACGGGGACTCTCGTCAACCATTGTTGGCCACTGGCTTGTGACCGACGAGGGTTGGCCCTAGGCTTGGAAAAAAAGAAAGAAAGAAAGAAAGATAAAAAAACAATAAAAAAGAAGAAACTAATAATAAAAATTTCATAATTTTAAAAAAATTATAAAAAATTATACACGTCAGCGCCGGTCGTGCCATATAGGACGGTCAATGTCCAAGTCAGCTATTTTCAGCTAAAATTGGACGGATAGACTCAATTGGCAAAACGTGAAAATGTTTATGGCTCAATTGACAAAATTGAAAGGTTTAAGACTGAATTGGCCAAAGTACAATAAGTTTAGGACTTTTTGGATAATTTTCCCGAACATAATTAAATCATGGATGCCACTTGGAAAACCATCGTAGTTATAGATGATTAATAGGAAATTAGCTATCCTAACCACATTGTCATCATTTTGCTTCAGACCGTTTCACCAGTCAAAAGGATAATCTATTCAGAATTTCTTTCTTTACTTCATGACCAGAAAGCCTATTTAGACAAATGAACCTTCGGGGGGATGAAATTTTCCCCTAACCGATTAACTAGCTTTTAGGATGTGAGCTAAAGTCCAAGCGAGCAACCAAGTATAGACTTGTCGGCACTTGAAGCATAAAGAATCGAACCAACTCGGGCATTTGATCCGCACATAGAAATCCGCACCTTAACCGCTAAATCGACCGGGATTCATTTTATGAGTTTCTTTATCTCTGTTCAAGCAAATTGATTTTGTAATCATATTGTATACCAAGCTTTATTTTGCTCATAAATGGAATCGTATTTGGGACTAGTTTATTTGGCCCCATTTTAAGTAAAAGGTTACTAATTGACTTTTCCACCAAAACTTACAATATTATGGAATTCCAAAATAAGAACCGTGAAAAATATCGTACACAAATTCACTTGTCAATGTTTGTATAATTTGAAAGGTTTCAGGTGTTTCACATTAAGTAAAGGTCAAATTGAGGAGTAGACAATCTTAAAAGATAATAAAAAGTAAAAGAAAAGTCACTTATAATCTAGGTGTTTAATTAGATGGTTAAGACTTACTTGTATATAGTTTGGACTGACCTGATCATGAGTTCAAATCTTTCGGTTGCACCCCAAATCTCGCAAAATCATAGTTCTTATGAGGCGTTGGTTCATCTTATGCCAGATGTATTATAACTCTACCTTTCTGATATTATTTTTCATGATATAAATCAATTCGGTATCATCAAGGTACAATTCATCCCATTGAATTTATAGGCAAAGAATTTATCATCTTTGTAGGATTAAATCCAGAGTTATTTCCAAATAAGAAAACAATGAGATTATGAAAGTAGATATTCTCGCTTTTATTGGTACCGCAAAATCGATTCTCAGTCCTACTTCATCTTTACTTATATGCTAACACATAAATTTAACTACTCATTTAGTGGTAAATTGTATATAAAATTAGAGGTTAAACTTTATCCCATGAACAAAATAATACATTAAATTGCATATCATATAATTTAATTTATTCATTGTATTTTAATTGGACTAGCGGTGGTAAACAGACCTGAATTAAGCGCGTGAACCGGGCTTGGCCCACGTGGAGAATTCGGTCAATGCATGAGCATAGTAGCCGAAATTTCTAGCCCATTAGACAAGGTCTTGAGCTTTAATTGACTTGGTTTAGCCCCTAATGATATACGGCTTGAGTTTAATTAAAACAAGCCCTATATTGGTCAAAGGGTGTCATTCATTGAGCTTGCAAGAAGCCAAAATTCGGCTACATTGAGGACAAGGGAGCTAGCCGAAATTTACAAGGAAAACGGACCCTAATTGAGCTTTAGTTAACTTGATTCAACCCATTAAAGTTCAATTAGATAATGATCTTAGGATAATTCAACCTATTATGTTAGAAAGGCCGAAGCTTAAGCCCGTAAATTAATATTGAAACCTATTTTAATGTTATAAATATTACGTTATGCTTCAGAATTAAGGGTCGGCAATTTTATTCTCAGAACATTAGAGAGAAATCACGTGACAAAGAGAGAGGGAGAGAGATGAGTCGCAGCCAAGTTTCACGGCCGCACTGCCCAGCCAAGCACCTTCAAGGCCGCGACCTTGTTGCCATTGTTGCATTGAGTAGCAACGACAGTGCCTATAAATTGAGTATTAATCAATAGTTCAATGACTGCATTGAACAGATTAAAAGTTTAACAATGACATTGCATATTATGCTAAAATGTAGGGAATACATCGTACAGTGGACCAAATTTTAGAGGTCATTTGTGTCACTTTCCTATTTAGTAAATTGACAATTATACTTGTATGTTTATAGCCTAAAGGTAGACCTATTAAAATTGGTCATAAACATATTTTTTAACCCATATATGATGGGCTGAGTCGTTAAAAGGGTTAGTTATACTTAATAAATGGATTATAAATGGATTTAAACATAATTTTGATTAAATGAGTCATAAATGAATCGTAAATAAATCATAAATGAGTTAAAAACTTACTTAGCACAACCGATCTCTATGACTTTTTCTTTATTCTCTCTCGTCCTCACTCGATCTCGTGTGTACTCACTCCGCACTCTCATATCAAGTTGTGTATAAGTTTTCCTATATTGAATTAAATATTAAAGTATTTTAGTAATATGGATCGAGTTGAGTATAAATCACTAAATTTACATTATATACGCAACACGGAATTTCCTAAAGTACCCCCCCAGTTCCAGACAGATTAAGATTAGTGAGTATCACAGCTAGACATCGCCACGGTTTGGAACCGGCCGGTTCCGGTTCGTGGCCATGTGTGAACCGGAACCGGAATCGCCCCTAGCGGTTCTGGTTCCGGTTCGAAATTTAAAAATAAAAA